GCGCAATGGTAAACCCTATGTGGCGCCCAACGTTTGGCCAGTGGGGAAATTTCATTTATTCACCCTGCTGGGTAAGTTGAGTAGTTACGGATTCGAAAGTGGCCTTATTGATTATGCCTGGGTTGAGATGAAGGGTAGGCAGGTTATGAAGATATGGGTCCCCGAATTACCGGACCTCCAGAAGAATTTGCTGAGAACAATTTTACGTGAAATGAAGCTACCGAAACGTCTGATACGAAAATATTATTTAGATATGATAAGACTGCATCAAGAATTAGAGGGATTTTTGGAAACATATATGCAGGATGAGGAATCGGATCATGTGGAATATGAAATACCCTATCGAGGGCTTAAACATGACCTGCAACATTTGTATCGTTTTATAAGTCAAATTGATCCGCCCAGCAAACATAAAACGCACAGTGTGGCCTTTATTTCCGATGTGGATTATTTCGCTAAGTTGCTGTTGGAATTCCGCAATCCCCATAAAGTCCAAAGGCTGTGTAATTATCTGATGTTGCAGTTTTTAATTTATCTGAAATATACCCAGCCGGAAAATTGTTTCTACACCATTAAAAATCGTCTACATTTACCATTCGATTATCTCTATTCGAAGTATTTCTATCACCCTCAAGCTGAGGAATTCAACAGCCACCTAAGTCTATTGAGTACGAAGATTTATCGGAATATTTTCGGGCTGATAAAAGAAAATCGTTTGGATTTATCAGCGGAACAGGTGAAGGAGCTGAAACAACAACTACTCAACATAACCTCAAATATTGGAAATTTACCCGAGAACATCAATTTCCAGCTACTGGAAGAGTTATATGGCAATCTGCCGAATATGGATGCGGAGAAGTTCTACAGTAACGACCTGCAGGCATTGCGCCATCAAAACTGGTTACGATACCACTGTCCCTCCAAGGTGATATGCATTCCGCAATTCCCCGTCCTACCCCGCTACGATGTCAGCAATAATAATGTGGTCATACCCTTTGCTGCATTGCAGACTCCCGTCTATCATCTCGATTTGGATCCAATATTTTCTCTCTCAACCTTTGGTTTCCTATTGGCTCAAAGCTATGCCCAGTCCATAAATGTCGATAACCTACAGCAGATTAGCGAACGCTTTGAACACCTCCAACAACATCCGAATATCAAATGTATGCAGCAGCAAGAACCGAGTGATTACATCGATGAACGTATTGCCGATTTAATGGGTGCCCGTATCGCCTATCAGGCCTATGCCCAGGAATATAAATATAATTTGCAGCCCAAATTTACCACCATACCCTGGCGACAATTATTTTTCTTAAATATGGCTCAGATATTTTGTTCCAAAAATCCGGAAGATTTGGAGGGAGGTGACATGGAGGGTGATACTTCGATGACACGTCTCAATCAAATTGCCATGAATTTGGAGATATTCGGTGAGGCATTTCAATGTCCCATGGGCAGTGAAATGAATCCGGCAAGGAAGTGTAGATATCTTTAAATTAAAAATAAATATTTATTTTTTATTATATAAAAAAATTATGAAATAAAAATTATGTAAAATTTGCAGAATTTTTATTAAAATATTTTTTCAAGGGTCTATACAAGGCGTGGATTTTTTTAAATTTATTTTTTCGAAGGTCTATGCAAGGCGTGGATTTTTTAAATTTATTTTTGCGAAGGTCTATGCAAGGCGTGGATTTTTTAAATTTACTTTTTCGAAGGTCTATACAAGGCGTGATTTTTTTTAATTTATTTTTTCGAAGGTCTATACAAGGCGTGGATTTTTTTAATTTATTTTTTCGAAGGTCTATATAAGGCGTGGATTTTTAAAAGCCTAATTTTTTTTAATCCACGAATTATATGAAAGCCTAAAAAAATATTTAAAAAAATCCACGCCTTATATGAAAGCCTAAAAAAATATTTAAAAAAATCCACGCCTTATATGAAAGCCTAAAAAAATATTTAAAAAAATCCACGCCTTATATGAAAGCCTAAAAAATTATTTAAAAAAATCCACGCCTTATATGAAAGCCTAAAAAATTATTTAAAAAAATCCACGCCTTATATGAAAGCCTAAAAAATGATTTAAAAAAATCCACGCCTTATATGAAAGCCTAAAAAATTATTTAAAAAAATCCACGCCTTATATGAAAGCCTAAAAAATTATTTAAAAAAATCCACGCCTTATATGAAAGCCTAAAAAATTATTTAAAAAAATCCACGCCTTATATGAAAGCCTAAAAAATTATTTAAAAAAATCCACGCCTTATATGAAAGCCTAAAAAATTATTTAAAAAAATCCACGCCTTATATGAAAGCCTAAAAAATTATTTAAAAAAATCCACGCCTTATATGAAAGCCTAAAAAATTATTTAAAAAAATCCACGCCTTATATGAAAGCCTAAAAAATTATTTAAAAAAATCCACGCCTTATATGAAAGCCTAAAAAATTATTTAAAAAAATCCACGCTTATATGAAAGCCTAAAAAATTATTTAAAAAAATCCACGCCTTATAGGAAAGCCTAAAAAATTATTTAAAAAAATCCACGCCTTATATGAAAGCCTAAAAAATGATTTAAAAAATCTACGCCCATTTAAGGTGCCTAAAAATTATTTAAAAAATCCTTGTCTTCCTTTGATCCCTTTTCTTTATTCTTTAGGCCTGAGGTGTCCCGGTATTAAAAAAACAACAAATTGTTTATAAATTAGGGAAAATGTTATTATTTATTAATAAAATCTACATTTCGCTTGTGGATTCATTTTACTTTCCAGCGGACACTGAAAGGCCTCCGCGAACTCCTCAAAATTCCGGATGACTTGATTTAAACGCATCGACGGTGCATCATGTTCATCATCAAAATCGGACCGTTTGACACAGAAATATTGTCCCAAATTTAAGAAAAATAATTTCTGCCATGGTAATTCCGTAAATTTCCGAACAGATTCACTTCGCTCCATACTGTATGCTTTCCAAGCGACCCGTGTTCCCAACAAATCAGCAATGCGCTCATCAATGCTAGTGGTGGGCTGCTGTTGCTGCATACAATTGAGGGATTCCAAAATTTCAGATTTTTCATTGATAGATTTGAAATGGGTTTCAAATTCCTCCAGCGATGTCGTATCAATGGCATGCGTCAGCTCATGACCCAATATGGTACCCAAAGAGGAATATATTAGTAGCGGATCATGGTGTATGTCATAGAGAGGAGGTTTCAGGGTACCAAAGGGTATGGTTATCATATTCAGCGTACGATCATAGTAGGGTATATGATCGGGATCTTCGCGGCAACTTAAAAATGGAGGACACTTCAGATTTTCTCCAATGGAATATTGTTTTAGTTGCAGATTATTCAAATAGTAGTTATGGGCATCCATTTCGGGTAGGTGCCGATAAAAGTTTTCAAGAATTTGTGGGTCTTGATTCCGTGGTAGATTTCCAATATTTATGGAAACTTTGGAGAGTTTTTCTTGAAGTTTTCCCAATTGTTGGTGGGTGAAATTCAGATGGTTTTCATGGAGAATTTCTATGAGATTTTTATAGATTTTTTTACTCACACCCACGATGTGGGAATTCAGATCCTGACCATATGCCTCATAGCGATGTTTGTGGTAAAGCCCATGGAATACAAAGGGGATTTGGTTGACGACATTTATCCTGCAGCCAAAACTATGTTCCCTTTTCAAAATCATAATGAATTTCAGCAGGAGATAATTCGCAAACTTTCTTACTTCGTGGGCGGGCCATTTATGGGAAAATAATAATTTATAATAATTTTCATTGGAAAATGCCACCAAGGGTTTTTCTTTGCGCAGGCTCAGCGGTAATGCTTTCTGCAGAAATTTATAAAGTTTTGGATATAGTAAATGTAATTCAGTCAGGGTATAACTCTCATCCTCAGCTTCGTCCTGCTCTTCCTCAGAATTGGTATAATTTTCATAAATCAATTGCCAATAATTTTGAGTGGCAAAAATATCCTCCGTCACTTTTCCCACACTTTCTTTATCCCAGAGAATTTCCTCCAAGACATCTTGGATCTGCTGCTTTTCCATATACTGGACATTGGGGATGGTAAAAATCACCACTAATTGGCCATTTTCCAAATAGACCGGTAGCAGCTTTACCAATTCATTATTCAAACCCAAAGAATGAAGCCTCCCCAGGAGGCCAAAAAATTCCATGGGTCTTAAACGGAATTTTGTCTTATTTCCATCGGCCTTAAATACCTCCAACAAAGGCCACTCCATTTCTGGGGCTGGTTTTACCATCTCCACAAATTTCATAACATCCACCGACTCCAATTCGGCACATGAATAATAATACTGCAGAGTCCTTTTTATAGCACTTCCCTCTTCCAAATTCTCCACTACACTTTTGGGATATTCCTTATCGATAATATCCTGCACATCTTTGGCATAGAACCTCTGCATCATATTGGCAATACCGAAATTTTCCTCCCTATGGTGCTGCGGCCAATTTCCACAGGCATATTGATAGAAATCGTTACACGGATCGATGCTAGAATTAATTGAAGACAAAATTGCCTGATATTGTTCCAAGGTCTCAGCTGAGGGTTGAACAAAGGCCTCCACTTCGAAGGATACGAGCGAAAAGATCACGAAACAAAATAATACACCATTTTTATTTTTCATATTTTTGTCCAATTTTTTCTTTATTCAAAATATTTTTCTATTTCTTTCTTTCTTTACTTTGTCCAAACTCTTTCCGAACTGGGTCGTTCGTCTGTTTTCAATTTCCATATTTTGAGACATCTACCGTGGTGTATTGATAACAGAGACCAAACGAGAGATAGCGATTGGGGAGAGTAAACAGAAAAAACCAACTACTCTCTTGGAGATGATAAGCAATTTAGAAGAAAACAGGGTGACTTAAGTCGAATCGTAAGAGCCCTATAGGCACCCAAATGGGTATGAATTTATAAGAAATAGAGGTGGATATTTAAAATAATTTTTTAGACACCCACAATAGGGGAGGAATTTTATAATTTTGTTTCAGCTTCCATATAAAGCATGGATTTTTAAAATAATGAAATGAAAAATATTTTAAAACAGTGAGCGGAGCTGTATTGTCGGAATGCGGCCAACCATATGATACCCTACACAACTACCACGGAACCCTAACTTTCGGGATTTTTATTCCGAGACTGGGCAATATTTCGTGATAGTTACACCCTCTTCACCGGTCAACAGAACCTATACTTTACACTGACATATTTTCCGAATTCCAGATTCTCTTCTCGGTCCACTTCATGCCAAAATTATTATTTGATCATCACCGAAATTTATAGTGTGGTAATGGGTTACTAAATAAAGCTATAACTAGTGAGCGGAGCAGTATAGTCGAACGGGGCCGACCATACGATACCCTACATAACTACCACGGAACTCTAACATTCTGTGGATTTTTTTTGTTGCACCCTCTTGAACGATTAGAGGTCTGCAAATATTTCTAATATTCAGTACAGCCCTTCTAATTACATTTCCATATTCCCTTCACCGTGGGTTCTGTTGTGATGTTCAGCTTATAATTGTGGCCTAAGGATCGACTAAAAAAAAAAAAAAAAAGTTTTCGGTCACTTCATCCCAAAATTATTATCTGATCTTCGCCGAAAATTATAGGCGTTGTCCTACGCCCTCCAGTGTGGTAATGGGTTACTAAATAATATATGAATATCTGAATACGCACCTATAAATATATTAGTGTAACTCCCACATTAGAGTACATACGACAATATAATTGGTATCAATTTAAAGGTCAACCACTCCTCTTGGATATACTATCAACTTCTCGGGTCAATGTCCCTCAGAGGTAAATATATACGCTATAGAATACAAATTTTGTAATTGTTCACACAAAAGTCAGGGTCGAACGAACACACATGTCTAGATCGACTCAGCTAGTCGAGATATGACGATCGGTATGTTTAAAGATGGATCTAGGGTCAATATTTCGCGGTGTTACAAATACTTGGGGCTGCACAAAGCTATAATACCCATACAACATAGTTGTGTAGGGTATAAAAATCTACGCCTTGCTTGGGTACATCAAAATATATTTTTAAACTTTCTGCGTATGTTTATTCCGAGCCTGGGCAATATTTCGTGACATTTGCACCCTCTTGCCGGTTAGAGGTCAACAGCACCTCTTCCTTACACTGACATATATTCCGAATATTACTAATATTCAGTACATCCCTACTACTTACTTGTCCAGATCCCCTTCACCGTGAGTTGTGTTGTTGAACGGACACACATGTCTAGATTGACTCAGCTAGTCGAGATATGACGATCGGTATACTTAATGGCACCCAACTTGGACCAATATTTCGCGGCGTTAAAAACTATTGGGCTGCACAGAACTATAATACCCGGACAACATAGTTATTTAGGGTATAAAAATCTACGCCTTGAGTAGGACCCCTATTTTTTTTAAATCCACGCATTGTATAAGACCCTTAAAACATTTTTAACCAGTAAGG